TGTAATTACACCTTCTGTAATGCGGTGGTAAGGTGGGGGTTGGGGTGGGGCGGGAGGGAGGGGAGGTTACGGGGTGCGGGCAGCCTGTGGTCTGTGATGAGGTCGCAGTCTTTTAGCGAGCTGGTGTCCTTGAGGTGCGCTTCACGGGACTTTCAGCTTCTCCCCCTTGTGTAGGACAGGATGACCGTTTTGTGCAGAAGGTGGGTGTTTCCCTTCCCCCATGTGAAGGGTAGCGTGGGCTGGAATTGAGTATTTCCCTTCCCCTGGATCAGCGTGGCTCTGATAGACCCTGAGTTTGGCTATGGTCACATAGTTTCTCTTGAGGACAGAACGTTCTAGTAATTTTAAATGGTTTCTTTTCCACTTTTCCCGCTGGCAAAGGGGATTTTTTTCTCTGCTATTCGCTGTGAGAAACCAGTCGAGGTCCTGGATGTAACGCTCCCAAAAGGTGGGTGATCCCTTCAGATTGGGTTTCCTTGGAACTCTGTTTCACTCAGGCTTGTCCACACTGAGTCTGTGCAGTGGCTGCACGGCAGTGGCTGCACGGCAGTGGCTCCCACGGCGGTGGCTCCCACGGCGGTGACCGCTCACCAGCGTCTGCTCCAGTAAGTTGTGTGTGTGTGTCTGCCTGTCTGACCCTCTTCTTTGTTTTATAGATCCGTATTTCCTTCTTTGCTCGTGATAAAGTGTGTGTACTCACATCAGGAGGGGGACGGAGGCGCGCCCTTCACAGGCTCAGCCCACCGATGGCACCCCTGGGACACTCCCCGCGTGTGTGCTCAGTGTCGACGAGGCCCTAGGGAGCCGGAGAATGCCGGGCAGAGCAGCGCATGGTCCTTGATGGCTGACAGGAGCAGCGGCGTCCACGGGGCGTCAAGGATGCGGTTGGTGGTGCAGAGGAGAAGGTGGGGGCCCCACCCCAGGAAGTGTCTAGAGACAAAATGGAGAGATGGAACACGTTTTGAGGTAGAATGGACAGACCGTGAGGTGGCATGTATGGAGGAATGAGGGAAAGGTCCCCAGAGGAACCAAGAAAGGTCCCCAGAGTTTTGGCTTAGGGCTGTGGCCTGTGCTTTTTGCTGCGTTCCTGATGGTTAGGCCCATCTGCACAAACCTGACTGCACCTGAGCTGACAGGCAGACTTTGGAAGCCATGGGTGTTAGATCAGAGCTGGGTGCTCCCATGCAGGGGCAGTGAGACCCTTGGATTCTGGGGTATGGCCTTCCCTCTTCCTCTTTTTAGAAAGGGTCCTAAGACATTGGGGAGAAAGGTTTCTCTCTGTCAGGATGGGAGGGGTCGGTGTGTCACCACTGAATGCAGGTCCCCAGATTCCTGACTCTGGGCTCCTCTCCTCAGGTTCTTGTCCCTGCAGGTGATGTCTGTCTTTCCTTCAGTCCACGTGGGCTGCTGGGTCCAGGGACCTGGCACAGTTATTGCTGTAAGTAATAACTTTCATCTCCCTGGGAACTCATGTTTGCTTTCAGGATCCAAATGCGTAACTACAGATATTAAAAAGCTCCCGGGGAGCAGGTGAGAGCTTGCATAACCTCTCTGGATATGGAGCTCTAGAGGTTTAGAGGTGATCTCCCATCATGACCTGGTGTGACCTTCCCGAAAGCCAGAGCTGGCAGGCCACTGCGGGCCCTTTCCCAAGAGAGGAAAGAAAGGATCTGAGAGGCGAAGGGGTCCACGTGGGGTCAGACTGCTGGTGAAAACAGCGAGCTGCTTCCCGGTTCTTGGTCAGCGACTCTCCTCCCAGGACAGCATGCCCTCCAGGGGACAGCTGTCACTGCTCTGGGGAGAGTACCTGGGCATCAGTGCATACGGGCTGGGGGTGCTCTGCAGCCCCACAGCAGGTACCCGGGTGCTGGGGTCAGAGCATGCAGGGGCTGGGGGTGCTCGGCGGCCCCACAGCAGGTGCCCGGGTCAGAGTGTGCAGGGACTGGGGTACTCGGCGGCCCCACAGCAGGTGCCAGGGTCAGAGTGTGCAGGGGCTGGGATGCTTGGCAGCTGCACAGCAGGTGCCTGGGTGCCGGGATCAGAGTGCTCGTGGCTTTCCTGCCACCTGGCACCGGCTCCCTCTTTGCCTCAGCTTCCACTTGGTCCCAAGTGAAAGGGGAAGCCAGGCTGCCAGGCGTACCCTGCCGCAGTACTCACAGCTGTGAGCGGACTCTCGCAGGTTCTCCTCAGCGTAGTGAAGCCCTGCCTTGATGGCGGTTCTCTGTAGGGTAGTGTCTCACACAGCCCTAACGGAGAGCACCATGTTTGTGTGTGTTTTCTGCAGGAGCCTGGTAGGGCCAAATGGAGTGATGAAGTTCACCGGGAAGACACCTCGCCCAGGCTGTGGCCCTTGGGCGGCGCTTAGAGGAGGAGGGTTCGTCTGTCTCTCCAGCTTTCCGCTGCCGTTCCCAGTGGGCTTGCTGATGTGGAAAGGGCTGGAACTCTCTGGCATTCCTCCCAGGGCATCGTGGCCTTGGCTGCCCCCGGCCCTTCCTCGGCAGGCCTTTGGGCCCAGCTTGCTCTTCCAGCTGGGTGAAGGTGGATGTCCTTTGGCCCAGGCGTGTGGCTCTCAGGCTGTGGGCTTGAGGCCGAGAGCCGAGAATGCTCAGGTGGGTGCATACAGGCGCTTGCATGGCTGGCCCAAGAAGAGTAGGTGGCATTGATGGTGTACCCGGGTTTCTGGCTTCATCGAACCTCAGCCTCTCTGGATCTTATCACGAACCTGTCATCGTTTTGTTCATTTGTTGGCTTAGGTTTCTTTTTCTTTCCTTTTTTGTTATTTTGCTGAGATTTTTGTAGCTCAGAGTCGGGGTGGGGGGGGGTGGAGCCCAAAAACAATCCGAAAACCTCAGAGACTATAAAATCAGATCTCAGGCCTGGGACAAACTTCTTGTGGCTCCAGATGGTCACCATTCTTTGTTTTTTAACTTCTTTTTTTTTTTTTTTTTGGAAATTTTTTTTTGTGGGGTGTG